AAGAGATGAAGCAATGTAAAATATAGGTAATATATACTGAACAGTACTGTATGTAATTAGACTATATAGCTGTGTATGTATATGATCTGTCTCATTGCATTTCAGAGAGAAACAGTGTAACAGTAAGATCAAGGGGTTTATCCTGTGGCCTGTTCTGTTCTTCTTGTCATCTTAAAGATTTAGTTTGGAGCTGGGTGATCATCTTAAGGTCTCTATGAAGATCTGTATGGCTACTGGGTCCAAATTGGCAATAGCTGCATTGCTTGTGTGAAGCTTTGTACTGAAAGACAAAAACCGAAACGGCTTAGTAAAGGTATTTGCCTCCAAATGTCAGCCTCACTGGACTCTCTCTGAAAAGCAGTCTCATCCTCCAGCATATGGACTTGCCCTCACCGTTCTGGTGTTGTCCACTCCCTGCTGAGACAGCTTTGTCCCATCATATAGGTTGCTAATAACACCATTAAACAGCATCGATCCCAGCATCCATCCCTTAGGGATGCTACTGGTAATGGACCATGAGTTGGAATTTGTTCTACTGATCAGTCCCAGCCAGTTTTCTGCCCACTTTATTTCTTAGTTCTGCCCATTCTGAATTTTCTTCTTGATTTCCCCCCTCCTTTGATCCAAATGAGCTCTTTCTACAGGAATCTCAGTGTTTAGAGCTGGATCAGCAAAGAATTTGTCACTCCATTGATTCTAAAGGGGTTTTGCAAAATTTTATATATGCAAATAATAATAACAATTATTGCCCCTAACAATGTGACCAGCAAGGGAATTCTCTATTATTATTTTTAGGTTTCTCTGTCCTCTGCAGATGCTACTTTAATGCAAATCAAACTTTGTGGATTGTGTTACCTATTGAAAAATAGTTTCAATTAGAAATTCAATTACACTGTCTTGGGGGGATGGAACTGACAGTTTCTTTGAATTTTGCATGTTATAGAGGGCTCCAAAGTGCCATAAATCTGCTAATTGATTTCTGTACCTGTAATGTTTGATTAGGTGTATTTTATTGTCTTCTTGGTTTTAATTAACCCCAGGCTTGTCAAAATGCTTCCACTGACAAAGGATATATGATGAACCGAGATAAACTCTATTAACAGAGGCTGACTTTTGTCAGTAATTGCTATAATGCATAAGAGTTATTAGAAATTATCGCACACAAAAAGAAACTATACTTTTGGTAACAACTTTTATGGGCTGCTATAAATCTGTTGACTGCCCCCTACATGCAAGAGATAAGCAACTGTGAATGACAAGGGGTCTGAAGGAAAATCAATCATTTGCTAGATGTCTTATAAATATTAAGAGTGACAAAATGAGGAGAGTTATGAAGTCTAAGTGCTGAAAATTGAATGGATGCTAATGTGCCTAAACTTGTACCCATTACAGATTGGGAAGGCTGTTGAGACAAGGATATGACTACCTCAGGAAGGTCTTGGTTTTACTGAAGCAGAACATGTTGCCTTGGCTGTGGATCTCTGAAAGACTAAAGTGATACTGAGTCTTTGGCTTCTAGGTCCTTGGTTGGAGTCCAGGTCTGGGCTCTTACCACTTGGCTGTCCATGGCTTCAGAGGTCAGGCACCCAACAGGGTCACATCACTAGTGTTTGAGGACAGAGGCAATCAGAAGTAATGGCTTGATGCGCTGATGATAGTTGAGACATTTTTGCTGAGAACAGAGGTACTTGGTGATGCTGTTTATATGGTCTGGTGTTAGAAATGTTCTATCTAGTAGTAACAGACAAACCATCTCTTAAAACAGGAAAGAAGAGTTAATATCTTCATTTTTACTGGTGTCTCCACCTTTAAGGACTTGGCTTATGTAAGATCTTTAGGTAGCAACATATGCACAGACTTCTGCATATGTTTCTATAAGTAAATTTCACTGAACTGCAACTTCATAGTTTGCAGATCTGTCCTTGTTTGCTCTCTGGGCCCTATGTTTGTCTGCAGCTCTGTATGTGTTGATGCAGGTATAGTCCTGTGAACAAAACTGATATAATATTGTGTGTATAAGCAGAGCAGTAATTAAGCCATACAAAGTTGTAAAAGTATAAGACAAGCTTTCTGCAACACAGTTGTTAAATTTGATATGACTATTTCCTAGAAACTCCACACAACCTTGTGTTTTATATTGGCAAGGCAAAGTTTGTAAATGCCTTTTTTTAATTCTTGGTTTTGGTTGTTTTGGTTTTTTTTTTATTTTTAAATTATGTGTGTGGAGTACATCTGAACCTCAGGAGCTGCAGAGACCTGTTCTCTTATTTTCTGACAATTTCTGTCCAAGCTTTGGACACTCTTGGCTGCTGCAATTTTAAAGTTGCCTATCAAATCTTCTGTCTTACTCAAAAATAGTTAATTTCAGTTAGACTTTTTTTTTTTAATCCACAGCTGAAATAATATTTTATACTGACCTTCATTTCCTTTGCTGCTTTTTGTAAGAATTGTCATAATGGCTCAACTGTACAGCTCCATGAGTGTGCATGGAGAATGAGTGGAGCCTTCCCATGTAGAGGTTACATGCAGTCCTAGAAACTGATTGATCTAGTTATTAGGATATTTAGCTTATTATTAACATTTTTTTTGAGCTCCAAAACATCTCTGGAGCTTGGAGGTGTGAAATTCACAATTTGTTTTAGTTTAGCCCAAAACAGATCTTCAAATGCTTGGGGCTTTCTGGAGTAGGGCACTGGGCACCATAGTGTTTGAAGTGGCTCTGCTGCTGTGTGTGGGTATGCTGGGGTGGAGAGGCACAGCTGGTACCAGGGAAGCACTACCATGGGCACATGCATCTTTCAGTTGCCAGCAAGAGAAAAACATTTGGCCTGTTGATCCTCACTTATGAGCCATTGTTCTTGAATCCCAGTTCTTGTGGAATATTCCCGTACAGGACATAGAGGGAAGGTATTCTGTAGCATGCTAGGTTCCTAAGGACCATGTGTCTTTCAGCGAGTTGCTAGGGTGAGAACTGTCACTAGTTTCTACAGCCCAGCAGAGGACCTTGGTGCTAGACCCCTGGTGATGGTATAGGTGGGATTGCCTGTGGGATTCTTCTCTCTCAGCTGTTGTGAGAGCAAGGAATTCTAGTAGCCGAGTTGTGATCTGGCTTGATGTTTTGTGGACTATCAGAAAAGTCTAGACATCCCATAACTTTTGCTGTGGCAATGTGAATTGAGACCAGCACTGGAGAGGGGTGCAGAGTGTTAAAGATGCCTATATTAAAGAGCTGAGACAAACCTTTTAGGCTTGATATATTGCAAATGATTCTGTTGGCTGGACAGTTCAAGCTGGCTTGGTGTATGTGGTATCAGAGTGTTGCATCATGGTACTGCAATTATCCTACCACACTTGTACTTCTACCAGATTTTAAGGAGCAGTTGGTATGTTTAGTAGCTGAGCCTTTTTGTTTGTCTTGGTTACATAGCTCTGTTTAAGAGTTTCCATGCAAGTCTCGTGTGTGAAAATGCACATATATCTATATTCCCTCTTGGGTGCGCTGAAAACAATCCATTTAGAAACCAGGTGTCCTTGTCTTTCTTGGCATCTGGTTAAATATCAGCCAAGCAGGAGAAGGTAAATCCTAGGATGCCTTAACAACTGCTGGGTCTGTGAAGCCGTCGGCTTCATCTGATGGGATTTGAAGGTCATGGTGGTTGCCCACATGTGAAAGATGTGTCCTTATTCCCCGCAGATAAAACAGACCAAAATGATCTATCGTAAGGTCCCTAAACTAAGCTAGGAAGAGACTTGTGCATTTCAGTCTGCTGAGACCAGAGGTCGCTGTTGAACTGGAAATGGAGACACCCTTGCTTTTCCCCCGCCACCTTCTCTTTATTTTGTCCAGTGCTTAAGCCGCTCTGTAATAGCTTAGGCTTCTTTTTCCTTACGAAAAGACTGTGCTCTCAAAAGCAAAGCACAGCACTAGACTTCTGAGTATAAGGGACTGAATAGATACATCTAGAGGAGAAAGTAGGATAGTGCGGCTGAGCTCTGTTTCTCTGCAGTTCACTCTTGCCTCACACACCTACCAGTATGTCCTGCAGATACCTCTCTTAATCTGCAGCTCTTCCATTCATTCCTGATCCCTGGCGTAGTCTTGTTTATAGCAGACATATCTTCTTTTAGCCATGGTGGCTGTCTGTAAAAAAAACATATACAGTGATGAGCAGAGCAGCAGAGTAGCAGCCAAGGCAGTGTGACAGTGATGGTGTAAGGATGAGAGGAGCACGAATTTGTAGGAAGTATGATTTCTCTTCTGTCTGCAGGTCTGGAGGAATGAAACTGGTCAGAACTAGACACACCTTTGGGTAATATGGCTATCCTGAAAATGAGCAGCTGTTGGAGGGGAGCACATACAGGCACAATGGTTGGTGTTTGTGTTCAGGTGGCCATACAGTATTTTCTAACTCTGGGGTATGGGCTGCCTCCTTCACACAATTGAACTGAACTGACTGTGTGTGAGGAAGAGATTTAGCGAGGCTCAGAAACCTTGCATATGGACTCTGAAAGTGAGTCTATCTCAATCATACTCTGCTGGAACAGCAGCATGTCAGGCATGCCTTGTCACATGGACAAGCGGTGGTTGTGTAGGTTCTGGTTAAAACTTGGACTGAGTAGTAGCACTGCAGGGAAAGATATTTTGAAGCTCATTGAGCCCCTTTTGGCTGTACTGGAGGTTAAACTACTGCTGCACTCTTTCAGACGGGTATCATCCTCTTCTGGGTAGGCCTTGGGCAGGAGACATATTGCTGCCTCTTTGTACCCCAAGGCTGAACCACTGAGCCCAGCTGATCCTGACCTGGCTGTGAGCCTGTCTGCACCAAGTCAATTCCCAGACAAGGAGAGCTGGCTGAAAATGCTCAGTTCCTTTTATGAATCTCCGTAAAATCCCATAGGTCATAATATCCTGCAAGCTGCACAGGTGAATTAGCATCTTATGTTAGCATTCCTTACTGCTTGAAAACACCTTGGCTTTTAACTTCATTACTCTTCTCTAGAGAAAAAGCAAATGAGAGCTTCCTTCAGAGATGATGAACACTTGTGCCTTTCTGCAGGAGAATGGTCAGGAATGCCCGGAATTCAAAAGATGAGACATCTATGGCAGCAAGAGCCTGGGAAGCAAACGAACTGTGCTTCACATCACTCCAGTAATTCAGTATTCACAGCAGACTGAGATCCAGCAGTATGTTCTCAATTGGTTTATTACAGTCAATACTTATTATTAATAGATATGAAACGGACAAGATCTGGGCCTTTTGATGTTGTGAATCGATACAGATCTGTTCACTCCCTGAAACTCCAGGCTATTCTTAGCAGAGCCACAAATCCTTAATTAAAACTTGAGTCTTTTGCCCAGACCTGTAAACTTTATGGATACCTTTGTCTTGGCAGAAACAGGTCTTTCATTAGTCCTGCTACTCCAGTATGCATAGGCAATAAGCCATCCAGCAGAAGGCACTATTTGGCTAGAAAGATTAGTGTGGTGTGGTTATTTTGGCAAATGCTGTGCAGGTAGCCAGTACAGTCACAGCAGCATAGCTGTCACATTGAGCATTGCCTGGTTATGTTTGGACTCGAGCTGTGTTGCTCTTCCCTTGGGAGCAGAACTCTGCATTCGAAGCTGTGGGAGTGTATGAAACACTATAGTGTCTAAGTAACTTGCAACATCCTGTAATGTTACTACACAAAAGGTCCGAGTTAATGATCCAGTCGATTTTACAAGTCAACTGTGTGACAATAGAAATTAATATTCATTGATGAGCCAATCTGAAAAGCCTTGATTTTTATTATTTTTTTTTCTCTCTCTAATAGTTTTGTGTCAAATCTTAGGTGAGTTTATATACTAGTGTATGGATCAGAGGGTACCTGGGGATAAGAAGCATTTAATTAACCTTTTTCCTACCCTGGAAAATACAGTGCAAGATATGTTGTTTGAAACTGCTCAAGTAGAGTGCCATTCTAAAATATCCTTCTAGTACCAGAATGAGTAGATGGAAAAGGAGATTCCTGATCAAATGTGGCTTCATTTAGGGGGCAAAATGTAAGTAGCTGAGGCCAGATTCTGCTCTCTTTTTCTTCTGATTTATACGCAGTTAAGCTTGCACCATTGTAAAATCACAGTGAGAAAAAACCCTGTGGTATAGGGGAAGAAGGTTGAACTTTAACTGACGTGTAGTTAAAAACAGGCTTGCTGAGTGAAAGATGCTGGCTGTGGCAAGTTTCCTCCCTGCAGCAGAAGGCTACATGGATGGGACTTCTGTCTAGCATGTTGGTAGTCAGAAGTGGCTACTTAAACTCTGTTTATCCCAAAGAGCCATAGTGTCAATCACCTGCCCAATACAGAGGTGGGTGTTGGTTGGCTGAGAGCAGTTCCTTGGCACCTTTGGACAACTCTGCTTTTGTTTTGGGTTTCTTCCTTTTTTTTTCTTTCCAAACCCCCCCCCCCCGATTGAGCTGAGCTGAACTGACTGATGTCCTATGCTGTGCCTGAAGCAAGAGGTTGCATGAACAGTTCCTCATCAACCCTGGGACCAACCCATGTGTGAGATAAGGACCTCCAGGGATGCACCATCTTTCCTCCCTCCCTGCTGAACATATCTTTTTTCTCAGAGAAAACAAGCAGATGAACTTGTCTGATCTTTGTTCTGTTGTTCAACATTAGCAGGGACTGGGTGAAGATAACTTCTCCAAGGGGCATATGATATAGAGCTCCTGGTCCTGCTTTTTGCTCTCTGAGGCCCAGTAAGTTCTGTAGCATCTTCAGACTGTCCCTGTCTTGTAGCTTCTCTCTTGCAGAGCCAGTACGTAACAAAACTCCTCTAATAGCCTTTATGGTCTTAACCCAATTTCCTTCAAAACTGCCATATGTTGTGAGCTTTGAGAGGGATTAAGAACTTCAGAAGGCTGCTCATTAATATACCACGGAAAGGAGGGATTGTGGCATTCGGAGTGCCTGCAGGCAAGCAATAGAAAATCCTATCACTTGTTTTGGGGCAGAAAAAATTCATGCCTTTATCAAACTTAAGACTGCCTCCTTCAGCAAGAATTTTTTTAATTGGAGAAAATGTGAGGGAAGCCTAACTTGCTGTTTTGTTGTCATATTGGCGGGTGCTCTGAGAAGTTTGTAAAACTTGTGAAGAAATGATATTGTGCAGAGAATGAGGAACTCCAGAGAAGAACTAGATGCTGCAGAGATGAGGCTGAGTATCCTTCTGAGTAACTGCTTCCCTCCACATCAGCATGAGATCTATCCTGGCTGCTAGGGAGACTTGCAGGGTGCTAAGCCAGCCAGGTGCTGTCTTCTGGCACTGCTAGGTCACAGGCATCCTCCCATCAGCTGCACTAGGAAGTTGGTGATCTCTGATTTAGTCTTGGAGGACTTAAATATAATAAATAATAAATATAATAACTTTTTCAGGATTTGGAAAGTAGTGATGCAATCCATTGGCTGTCATGGAGTGGGACACCCTTCTTTCTGGATGGCTCAGTGCTAATGTGTGCTAGTCCTCAGTACTGATCAGCTTGTTGAGGCTCTGGTGACTGCCATCTGGAGCTAAGTCCTGCCTGGATCAGGACAAGGAGCAGTTCCCTATGGCCAGAATGCCTCCATATGGGTGAGAAAGAAGAGTCTGTCTGTAGCTATGGTAGATTTTGTGCAATAAAGCTGAGTACCAGAAGGTGGCCATTTCTTATGCATGTGTGGATCATCTGTCCACAGTGCACAAACAGATTAAAACTGGAAGTATTTTTCACCTAGAACACCTAATCTTTGATTCTGTGGGTTTTGTAGCCCTGTGCAAGGAGTGTTATATCACAGTACTAATGACTGTGATAGACACTGTCTCCTGATTTGGAGGTCTACAATTGAGTTTATTCTGCATTTGGAGAGTTCCCGAGATCCTTTGTTGCAAGCTGTGTTTGAAGGACCAAGTGCAGTGATAGAAACAGCTCTAAGAAGCAGGATCCAGAGGTCAATTAGTGAATGAGCAGGGATAAGAAAATGAAGGTTGAAAACCAGTCAAAGATATTTACAGCCTGCATGGCCTTCCCTCTCCTGATGCTTTATTTTTAATGGCTTGTTGCTTTTACCTCTCTTTGTTTAATGAATATTTTGCTGAGTTATTGGAAGTGCAAACTGCATCCAGAAGCAGGACACTCACGGTTTATTATATTCATACAACTCAAAAACAGCCAAATTGATTCCCCCCCCTTCATCTTTAAATTTTGCAGTGCGTTTACAGGTAGTGACAGCTGTGAGACTGACAACACTGGAGATACAGAAGCTGTGTTTAGGTAATGACCCCAGCAGTGAGTGGGGAGAGCACCTCTCTTTGCCTGATGCTTACTCCTTCTCCAGACACCTCTCCTTGTGGCTTGGGGCAGATACAGTCCTTGGCCGCTTGGTTGATATGCTGGTCTCCACTGCTGCTGGAATGGCTTTGAGAAGCTGGGCCTATCTTTTTCATCCAGTTACCAGCCACTTTCATGCCAGTGTGATCAGCTGCTCTCATATAACCAGACAGCTGAGGTAGTAGACATTCTCAGTTAGCACAGAGCATGAACTTGCAGCTCTGCAAAGGCAGCTGGACTTGAACCACTGAGGGTGACTTCAGCTTCCCTTGCTGCGGGAGATGAGTGGCTTGTGGGAAGAAACATAAGCAATGGTTGCTTGGGGTGGTCTTATTTAAGCATCTCTGGGAGTTTCCACTGATTGTCAGGCTCACTCCATATAATCCTTTCTGTAAGTGGCAGAGAAAATACGTGGTGGTTTCTACCTTCTTTAGGGCAGCCTGCATAGACCTGTAGTCTGCCTGCCCCCTCCTTGGGGTGTTCTCCTCTTACTAGTGCAGAGGTGGACATGGCAGCAAAGCGTAGGGCGGTTCTTGGAGCTATGCTAGCTACTGGGCCCTGGGACTTTGTCCTGCAACTACCTCACCTGTCTGACAGGAGTGTAGTACCAGTGGGCTTCAAAGGCACCCCTGTCTTCACAGGATGGCAAAGGGGCAGGTGAGAAAACCAGGAAGTAGGGAGATCTCTTCTCCTGAAGAAAAAATAAAGGACTTCACCCTCAGTATGAAACAGCAATCGGTTTTCATCTCAGCCCTGGTTAATGAGGGCATTTTGATCTACAATTGTTGACTGCAGAAAGAGCCTCCCTGATAAAGAGGGAAGGGATGTCCTAGGGGAGAGGGTCGCTGAATATGCATGGCCCTGAGTCTCTTTGTTTAGCTGATATCTGACTATATTTATTCTTCTAGATTACACATTCTGACTGCGGAACAAAGGGCTGGCAGGAGCTGCTCTCTTGTGCTTAATAATTTGAGTAAATTTACATTTCAATGCAGCCCTCTGCAACTTCCCACCCCCCATGGAAAGAGCAGAATTTCTCTGTTGTGGGGAGGGCGAAAAGAAACTACTATCCCAGTGGCCAGGCTGGGAGATTTATGGCTATTCCTCCCTGAATTTATTCGTCATGAACCCTGCATGTGTGCCTACCTGCCTGATGCAGAGGTGTTTTCTTCCCTGATCCCTTTCTACATGACTTGCTCAGATAACACTGTTTGCCCCACCTCCCTGCTGAGCAGTGTGATTCATTGTCAAGTAATTAACCATCAGCAGTACAGAAAGTACCTGGCTAGGCAGAAGTGTGAAAACACATCTACACCTAATGGGAACTGGACTAGAAGATTTCCAGTTTGAGTGACACCCAGAGAGCTGCAAAGTGACAAAACCACAGAGTTAGCTATTGCCAAAACTCCCCAGAGGTGGTCTGGTTTCTATGTAACATTCTTTTCAGTCTACTTTGAGGCCTGAGAGTGCAAGAAGTCTTTTGCTGAGTCAGTCATGGGGGATTTAGAGGTGGCACTTTCTTACTTGTCGGTCTGCCCAGGCTTGGATCCCTGCGCATAGCAAATCATTTGACTAGTTTCATCTCTTGCTTCTGAAATGAATGTTTCTAGTTTGCATCCCGAAATCTATCCGTGAGTATTATTTTGTGTCCCTGAATAGGTTCCTGGGCCGTGCGTGCACGAGCGTCCTGTGTTGGCTGCCGCTGGTGTTCACCAAGCCACAGTCCTGCAGTTTAACGCTGGGACAGCTGCATACTTTGTCTCTCACCTGCCTGATGGTAACCTTGCAGGTACACGTACACCGATGACCTCGGCATGCTACACTGCATT